AGGCTATTTCGCCGAAATATTGGGGGCACTACCTTGGTTATTCCCCTTCTCTCACTTTTTGTGGTATATATTTTGCTGTTATTTTGGTTCTTCATGTTTTATTAGACTTGGCTTGATAATATTTATATTATATTACAGGTTTTTTTCTGCTTCATCTTGCATGGATACATGTTATTTATGTACATATTGTTTTCTGTGATGTACAGAATATTACCTTTACATTGTCATTATTGCTTTTGATGTTTTTATGGACACCATACATATTTGGTTTATAAAATAAAGTTTATTTGTTCTTAACGGTTGTGCTCCTCATTCTGTACTGAGATAAAAAAGATTAAAACAAATATCGACCATTTAGGTGGATATGCCTCAGAAAAGCATGCATTCAAAATTGCAATTTCCAATTTAATATTGTTGGATATGCTTTCCAAATGATTTCATGTTTTTGGATATACTTTTAAAATTAGCTAATATACTGAAAAATATAATTTACTAATATTTTTATGATTATTTTTAATAAAATGTTATTTATATATTTGTTTTATATTTTGAATATGTTGAGAGAAAAAAAAAAGTATAAAAGGTAATCCAACGCAGTCCTCACAATGCAAGCTAGCTCCGGTTGCCAGACTACTGAGAGACCGATCAGTCCGGTACCAATGGTGCACAGATGGAGCCTTACTGGTCCCACACATGGATAAAACCCTCTCTCTCACATTGGACCAAGACCCAGAGACACTCTGGAAAGACCTGCAACCACACAGCGATGACTTGAACAGAAGACCACCTAAGGGGGACCCAGGAGAAGGCACCTTGAAGATACAATTCAAACACCAAGCATCTATGAAAGTGATAGAGCGATAGCACAGCTAAGCCGCAGTGGACTGTCCTTCCTGCTAATGGACATGGTCTTATCTTATTCAACAATATAAAATTGATGCCTTAAAAAATGACTGCAGCAACCACCAGATTGTCAGCCTTTGAACAAATGTGTGTAGAAACACCTGCACACAAAGGCCAAATCTCTGCCAATTACACTTAGTTACAAGTTTTCACTTAGGGGCTTTGGCCTGTGTGTCACCTTGGAAGAGGGACCTGGGAACCCCCGGACAAACACTCTGCCTGCTTTGACCACAAGGAGCAGGCATACAAAAACACTGCTCCGGTGGTGCTTGATGCCGGCTATTCCATATTCTGTTCCCCTATGGAGAGAGGTTGCTGGACTGTCGTGGTGGAGGTTCCACTGGATCCGTGGATCTGGCTACTCTGCAAACCCTGGGGCTCAATCATTAGAGCCCAAAATAAAATGAACAATAGGATAGTGATAGCAACAAGACGAGCCATAGCCGAACTTTGGGGTTCCCTAACTGTACCGACCCTCAACAAAGTCATTCATGAAATAAAGGGAGACCTTACAGGATACATGTATAGGTTAACAGCTAAGATCCATGAAACCTCCAAACATTTCCAAAGGTTTGGGACCCGTTGCTGCAGGACCCAGAGCTTACAGAATGGGAAGCTATAGATCACAAATAACATGTGACAGTAATGCCAACCCCCAGACAGGACTAACTAAGACACATCAATAGAGAGAGCTGACAGAGATGGAGAAACATTTGATTTAGTTTCTTAATTATATTGTTAATTTAATGTTACATTATTCAGTGAAGAACCTCCCATTCACCATAGAAAACTTCCTTCGTAATTACCTTTTGAGGCTTTTTTTCTGCACAACTGTCAAGTCAGCAGTCCTCCCATGATTGTGATTCCTACTGAACCAGACTGAGAGACCATTTAAAGGCTCGGAAACCCTTTGCAGATGTTATGGCTTACTTAGCTGATTAGAGTGGGATACTGTGAGCCTAGAATATTGCACCTTTTCAAAATATTCTAATTTACTGAGATTGTGGATTTCTGTATGAGCTGTAAGCCATAATCATCGCACTTATGACAAATTACGGCTTGAACTATCTTGCTTTGCATGTAATACGTCTATCTCATATATAATATTTCCCCTTTTACGTTGCATTACTGAAATAAATGAACTTTTGCACGATATTCAAATTTTTCGAGTAGTACCTGTATATTATGGTTCTACTCAGCTTTGCATTTTTTTAAATGTTTGTATGTAATTCTGGAAAATATAAAATAAAGAGGCCTGAGTGAAGCAGGAAACTCTCCCAGCTATCTGACTGAGAGCTGAGAAGGTGTGAAAAAGCTTTTTAAAAACAATGTTTTTGGTTGGAGTAAAACTTTAAATGGACTCTATAGTCACCAAAACAACTTTAGTTTAATGAAGCAATTTTTGTGTATAGACACGCCTCTGAAGTCTCATTGCTCAATTATCTGCCATTTATAAGTTACATCACTTTTGTTTCTGTCCATGCAATCCACACCTCCCCTGGCTGTGACTGACACAGCCTGCTTGAAAAAAAAAAAATGGTTTCACTTTTATTCATATAGTAGCTTACTCTAAAGGTTTTTATCTCCTGCTCTCTAAATTGGACATTAATCACACACAGGAAGCTACTGCAGGGTCTAGCAAGCTATTAACAGAGCAGGAATAAGACATTCTAGATTAAACAGAATTTTCAATAAAGGAAGTGTAAGTATAAACATTAGATGACTCTTTACAGGAAGTGTTTAAGAAGGCTGTGTAAGACACATGCAAGGAGGTGTGACTATGGCTGTATAAACAACATGATTTTACTCCTAAATGGCAGAGACTTTATTAGTGTTACTGCATGTGCATGATCTATACACCAAACCTGCTTCATTAAACTAAAGTTATTGTGGTGACTATCGTGTCCCTTTAACATTAAAGTAATAGTAGCTCAGGAGTTTTAATATCTCATGTACCCACAAATAGGTTCTGTATATTTTTACAGGTAGGGCCAAATGACTGAGCATCTCCTAGCCCTTTGTGGGGATTCTTTGTATAGTCACAAACTTAGGGTCAGGGAGACTTCATATAAGCATCTAGGTACTAGGCATCTCCTGATCCATTTGTTGGTCAGCTAGGTTGCTTGACTACCAAATCTTATTTTATCAATACTTGCACATTTTTTTTTGTGAGGTGTTCTACACTTAAAACCTAGCTTTTATGAAATTAAATAGAAAATAACATTATCCTTTATTTCACTATGTTTCCATTAAGGGACTACATATTTATTTTGTTACTTTCACTGAATCATCGCAGAGCCGCGTTGTCTGAAGTTTGACTGAGTGCCGTCACTGAGAATGACTACTTCGCCCAATGGTAACTAGATGCAGACAGCCATTTTTTTTTTTAACGAAATGCAGAGAATACATAGTTTGTACATAGCCACATAATCTGCATCTCTCTGAACACTATGCTACTTCTTTGTCGGAAACACGCGCTGAGTTGCAGATGTTTATTGGATCAGAATTTTGGATACAGCAGTTGAATTTTTTTTCCTGTTTTAAACTAACCACAGAGAGTATATGCTTTGACTATTACACAATCTTTGTTTTAAACGACATATTCTGCATCTCTCTGAATACCATACTATTTTGTCTGAAGCACGAATTTTGCAAATGTAATAGGTCTTAATACAGCAGTGGATTTTCAAATTTAAATTTTAAAAAAAAATTTCCCTCTCCTCTTGCTGATATTACTGAATTATAACTCATTGCTTGTATCAATTCTACGCTATTGATTGTTAAGGTTTACTATATCAGTTGGATCAAGCTTATTCAGGTTGGCAACACGCTAGAACATATAACTAACCCCACTTGTTTAGACCTAGGCCGTTCTTAAACTTCTGTGAAGCTGGTAACTATATAGGAAAAACAAAGCTAATCTGTGACTGGGAATATACCAGTACACACACTCAAGGTGTATGTAACTGTGTATATACAGTATACCCTACCACAGGAACAACCCTAACATGGTACAAAGAACGAAAGAAAGGGCAAAATCTCACAACCTGTGAGATAGATGCCCCCTGTAACAGTATCCTCAACAAATAAGTGGCTATAATAAAGATTGATTGTAACAAAATAAAAAGAAGGGAATAACAAAAATAAATAATAATAATTACAGTATCTCACAAAAGTGAGTACACCCCTAACATTTTTGTAAATATTTTATTATCTTTTCATGTGTGTGTTATATATATATACACCGTATATATAGACACCCCCCATATGTATATCAATCTCTCACACAGTCTGATTTTAAACCTTCCCTGCCTTACATCAGAACAGAACTCAGTCCACATTCAGCTGATCCAGTTGCTGAACACTGCTGGAGACTTCCTCCACTATAAATGTATGCTGCACTCCTACAGTCTGGCTCTTTCCTCTGCAAAAGAAAACTATTTCAATACGCTCATAACTACACTCCCCTGCGAACCCAAATGCCTATTTCATGTTTTTAACTCTCTTCTTTGCCCTTTTGCGCCTCCTCCTCCTCCTACCAACATGACCATCACAAACTTTGCAACTCACTTCACTGAGAAAATTTCTACAATCAGGGAAGAGATCTCTCTCCATCCCCTACCAATTTTCCCCCAACCACACTCCCTCCGTTGCTCTATGCACATTTGCACCCGCTACAGCAGAAGAGGCCACCACCTGTTCCCTCAGTTGTATTCCCTCGAATCTCATTGGCACTTTGTCACCTTCTCTTGCTCTGCCTCTCAAGAATGTTTTCAATCTCTCCCTCTACTCTGGCATATTTCCTCTGCCCTTTCAAATATGCAACTGTAACCCCGATTCTTAAAAAGCCCAACCTTGACCCCAATTCCCTCCCTATCTCGCTACTTGAATTCAACTCTCTGCTTGATCCGATTCAATCTGGATTCCGCACTCGTCACTCTGTTGAAACAGCTGTGACCAAAGTATCCAATGATCTTATCACTGCAAAATCCTGTAGCCACTACTCTGCTCTCCTTGACTGTTCTGCTGCTTTTGACATTGTTGATCATCAACAGCTTATTCTCATCTTCTGTAATCTCAGTGTAAGAAATATCGCTCTCTCCTGCTGCTCTTCTTACCTCTCCCAGCGTTCTTTCAGTGATTCTCTCTCTGGCTCTTCTCCCCAATCACTCTGTTTATGTTCCCCAAGTCCTTGGTCCCCTATTGTTCTCAATCTATACTGCCTACCTTAGCAAATTTACCTGTCATCCCCTAATTTCCTCACCACCCCTCTTGACTCGTGTCTCTGACATTCCAGACACCAACTGAATGGCTGCTCATTTTCTTAAACTTAACCTGTCCAAAACAGAACTTCTGGTCTTCTCTCCTTCATGTGTTGCTACGCCTATGTCTGCTTCCCACCAAATCAATGGTGCTACCATCAGCTCAAGCTTGCAGGCTCGCTGCCTATGTGTTCGCTTTGACTCTGATCTCTCCTTCACTTCTCATGTCCACTCAATCACCAAATCCTGCCGCTTCCATCTCAAAAACCGAGCACGCATCCGCCCATATTTAACGCCTGATACGGCTATGGTGCTCGTTCATGCCGCCGTCCTCTCTCACCTTGACTATCCGCTTCTCTGATCTTATGTGTTTCCAACTTGCCCAGTTACAGTCTATAATGAATGTGGTGGTGAGGCTCATCTTCCCGTCTGCCCGCACCTCCCACGCCAACCCTCTCTCAGTCGCTACATTGGCTATCCGTATGATATAGGGTTCAATTCAAGATCCTGGTACTTGCTTACAAATCTCTGATCCAACCTACCTATCCTCACTAATACACAAATATATCTTGTGTAGGCCCTACGCTCTGTCGAAGAGCTACATCTAACCTTTGTTCATACTCCTACCTCTGATGCTCGCCTTAAAGACTTCTCTAGGGCTGCACTATTCCTATGGAATGTCCTTCCCCTCTCTATTAGACTTTCACCCAGTCTTCACTCCTTCAAAACATCTTTGAAAACATACCTCTTCAGGAAAGCATATCAACTAAATGGTCAACAGCTTTCCCTCCCGCGCCCAGATTCCTCTCCTACAACTGTCATCAAAAAAACAAAACACTAAGCCCTCAGTGAATACAATCCTAGCAACATACTTTTCTAGCCTTATATTTTGTGTCATTATACCCCACTCCCTCTACTATGTAAGCTCATTAAGCAGGGCCCTCAATCCCTCTGTGCTTGTGTTTCAAACTGGTCTGGTTACAAATATGTGTCTGTTAGTCCACCCATTGTACAGCGCTGCAGAATTAGTTGGCGCTTTATAAATAATAATGTGTTATTTTGCACTTTTGTGGTGACCCTGGTCTGGGCAATTTCTTGTAAACTGGGATTTTTAGGATGTTATGATATTTTTATTACATTGTTCAATTTATACATTTTTATATTGTAAAATGGACTAATGAATGCTTATGTAAGATATTTTTGTATGTACCTCAATGTGGAACATTGACTCACAGATCTTGTACTGATCCCTCTGGAATATTGAGACCATTAAAGTACAATGTACTTTATATATTTTAGATGTGTATTTTCATCTATTTTACATAATCATTCATACAAAGCAATTTATCAAATATTCATGTTAACTGCTCGGTAGATTAGCTAGATATAACAAATATAAAACTTTTTGTAATAATGTATTGTTATATATGTATAAAACATTTCACAATTATAGTAAAAAAGGTAGAAAATCACTTTTTAACATCTTTTTTAAACGTTTCAATTTAACATTCATTTAAAAAAAAAAGCCATCATTAACATATTTTAACAAACATATAACAGAAATGAGATTGTTTATGAAGCATTTCCCTATTTTTGGAGCAGTATCAAGACTTAACTTTTTTCTTTTGCTCCTGGCTGTTGCCCTCCATCTTGGTTCGAAAAGCAAAATTAAGACATTTAGAACTTGTGTGCAATAAGTGATATCAGGCACAAAAGCACTTGGCGGCATGAAAATAATAAACACTGATGTTCAATTGTACTTTCAGAGACAGTTAGAGGTTCTCTCTCTTGAACTCATTCAGAAGGGGAAAAAAGAGTTCTGAAAAAGTAAACACTATAATAGTACATTGGATTTGGAAATACTACAAACTGTCTGATTGGTCTTATGCTTTATCATCTCTTGTAGTTCTATGATTATTTCTGAAATATCTCTTTCAACATTAACTGTGATATAGATTTCTGGCTCTGCTGGGGGTTCCAGCGTATCAAACTGGGACTGTAATAATGTTAAAGGCATGAAATGTCCTGTTCTAATTTCTAGTCTCTTGGAGATAATTTCCATTGACCCATGCAAGTGGACAAAGATTGTATAAGAGGAAAGGTCCTCATTCTCTTCACAAGGACATTCACCATTGAGAGGTGTTTTCCCAGTTGTCAGTGTAATCCTATAGGCCCTTTTTAAAGCCGAGCATGCCAGTACCACATGGAGACCAGATGTCCTTTCTCTATGACAAAGAACAAAAGAGTGTAAGAGTTTTTGGGAGGTGATTAAAATCACAACCAAGACCAGTTTGTGTAAGCGAAAAGATTAATATTGTCATTTCATGTAGCAAAGCAATTATATTTGAAAAAGGAAGAGAGAGAGCACGCATTAAAAGAAATTATATGAATATTAAAAAAAATTATCAAAACAATAGCTGAGATGCATGCTGGTGATTGTAATTCACTAAAGTGAGAATCTTGGGAATTCAAAGTGAATTTAAAGTGACTTTCAAATTTAAGTCCAATACAGCGAAATTGGAAACACTCTCCAATTAAACTATGCTTTCAGTTCAGCTAATTTAGCTTTAAATTTGAAATTCACTTTGAATTCCTAACTATTCTTTATTTAGTGATTAACCCTGTAAGAGAAGAGTCATAGCGATCTGGTGCACATAAGCGGCCTTCACACTGCGTTCATTGAATGCCGCCCTATGAATGAACTCAGCGCTCTACCGCGTGGTATGCGTGTTCGCGAGCTGAGCTGACTGACAAATCAGCTCGCTGTCTATGCCCGCCTCCCTCCTATGGCAACCCTCCAGCCAAAAGTAAGTATACAAACACTACATATAAAGAAATCTCTATATATTGTGTTTGTATAAAAACACAGATTTTAAATAAATTTTGTTAAACATACTCTCTCTAAATCTATATGTCTGTCTCTCTCTAAATCTATATGTCTCTGTCTCTCACACTCAATTTTTAAAATAAGTGTACTTACTGTTTGAAGTCCGGATATCTCTGCATCCTCCTGCCTTCAGCCTGTCAGCTCGAGCCAATGCTGTGTACAGAAGATCTTATCTCCCACACTGTCTGCTCTCATCGCTCACAGGCTCCGGGGTTACTACAGGACATAGGAGGTGCTGTGAACGCGCCTCTTATCTCCTGTATGCTGATAGCACGTTTGATGCCCTCACCCAAGCGTGAAGACGTCAAACGTGGATGAATGTGAATTATGCATTCATCAACTCAGAAGTCCCTCTGGTGGCAGTCTGAGTAACCGCAACTGGAGGTGTTCCTAGCTTCCAATGTTAACACTGTATTTTCACAGAAAATACAGTGTTTACATGAGAGGCTGCAGGGAGCTATAGTTCTCACCTGAATAACCTCATTAAGCTGAAGTTGTTCAGATGAATATAGTGTCCCTTTAAGGTTACAATTTGGGTTTGGTTAGGGGAGAGTTAGAAATAGGTGGTATAACCACCAACTATTGTATCTGGGAATCAAATTACATATAAACCAAAAATGTTGAATACACTAAAATCTGTTAAAAAAATTATAATATCAAAACATCATTTAGTAGATGCCAATCCTCCTCTGCAGATAGAATTGTGCTCACAAGATGCAGGTAAGTAAAGGTATATCAGGGTGCCTTCCCAGGTCCTTTGCATTTAAGCTGCTCCATAGAAAAGCATTGTTTTTCTTGGTTAGTGCAGTAGAAGTTACCTGGGTGACTAAACATTTTGCATTTTAACATATATGGGGATCACCTGAACATAAACTATAACAGACAGATACAGAAGTTAATTAGTAGTCATGCTTTCAATATTCATAGATACAGTTTTCTTAAGGTGAAAAATAACATTTTTGGCTTTCGGATAGCTAAATATGGAAATAAGCCAACTGCACTTACCTCATTATTAATTCATGCAATACGCAAAGCCAAGGGTGTCTGTCCTATGTGGGGACATTAAAGTAGAATTAAAATACAAAAAAACCTCAAACCTGGTAAACAGAAAATAAAATGTAAAAAACAAACAAAAAAAACCAACAACATTGTTTATTGCCATTATGACAGAACATACAAGTGCTTGTTATCTTTCATGATCAATGTGAATCCCTATACATAACACTTGTTTCTACGCACTCTGTATATAAAATAGGCTCTCTAACCATTATCTGGTCACCTAATCAGTGGTCTACTATAAAACAAATAAGCAGACCTTGCAAATAGATAGATTTAATTTTGTAATTGTAAATAAGGGTCCAAATGGCTTACAGCCATAGCGATCTTCCTCTGGAGGCGTTTGGTGAACATCTACAAATCAATAATATAGCTTTTGTTTTTCCATCACATAATATTACAAGTAGAAACAACATAAAAAATGACTTGTAATACTGATTGATCCACTGGTTATTAGATTGTGACGCCTATACTTTATTCAGGCTTATTCACTAAAGTCCCAAGGCCCCTTACCAAATCGGGTAAGACCAATTGGTGCTGTACAGGGCCCCAGAGACTGCAAAATCTAGACATTGTCCATGCTATTTAACAATGTCTAGATTTTGTGAGTCAGACTCCAAAAAAGCCTGAATTAGGTCTGGATTTCAGTCAGCCCGTTCCTTTTGGAACAGTGTGTCACGTGTGGATTTTTATGCATCCCAGTAACAGATGTCGCACCTGTTGGCTGACTGCACGTTCCTTCTAGCCCTGGTGCAAATCACAGAGAACTAGGCCTGAGAGCTGCAAGTGTCTTTATAAAGACAAGAGCCATCACATTGCAGGCAGCGGTACATACCTGCCTGGAAGGAAAGCTGCAGAGGGAACAACACCTGCCTGGATGAAGGGCTGCAGAGCAGAGGAAAAGGCAGAGGGGAACGATAGCTGCCTGGAAGGAGAGCTGCAGCCTGGAAATGTTTCAGAGAGACCCCAGTCAAGCCTCAGCGACTGGGGTTGAAGTGCTCCAGGGACCTGTCCAGCGACTAGGAAGCAATCTGGGCGGAGATACAGGAGTACAGGAGCTCCGTCACAAATGGATTTGTAGCTATTGAACTGTTATATATCTGCCTTTGGCTATCAATGATTTAGATGACAGACTTTAAAGGAACACCATAGGAACCATAAAAACTTCATTGAGATTAAGTTGTTATTAAACCTAGAGAGTGTTTCTCTAAGTGCTTGACAGAGAATATAAATCATTATGGTTTTAAAGTTTCATCCTACTATACCTAGATATTGTGTTTCCTTAAGAATGTATATTTTATCTCCCTTTTTAAAAAAAACAAAACAAACAACGGATTCAGAAGAATAGCTTTAAGCTGTGTAGTTTGCTTTATATGGTTACATTTAATTACACCTAAATGCTAAATGTGAAAATTAGTGTTAGAGGGAAGCAGGTGCTGAGATAATGTGCATCAGAAGTTATTCAGGGGGGTGGGTGAGAAATGCTCCCAATACAATTGCTGCTGAGAAAGTTTCCTTCCAAACAGCGTTTCTTTGGACGAAAGCAGGACTTGTCACATATAATAAAGATGAATGATAAGCTTCTCAGTGTCATGGAATGTGCTTTGGAGGCCCTGGAGGACATGTCAATACTAATCAGCATTTATCAGTACCCTGCTATCACCTCCACTAACCGTTTAAGCAAGACTTCCAAATATGACAAGCCAGGATGCTGTGGGCTGAAAGTGTAGCAAGCACCACTGCACAGCAGGATGTCCTCAAGCAATGGACAGGGAAGGGAATTGGATCACAAGCCATTGGCAAACAAAAATCCACAATACGAAATAAAGGCACGCAAGGCAGAAAGCAGAACATCAGGCATAAAGTGTGTATATAAAAGTATGCAGTGAATGTGTGTGTCAGTGTGTTTAGTGTATGTGAAGTGTAAAAGTCAATTTACATACATATTTTATATTGAAATTGTTTTACAAATACTGTTGCACTAGTGGATATTGTCTTTGTATTATGATTTTGCAAAGGGGGGTATTGGTTTTCTATCAGGATTTTTGTAAATAATCATTTTACATTATAGTGCACAGAAGGATATATTAAATTAAGTGATCCCAAAAGAATGGGCCAGTTTTGCAAGAGTTTGTTTACCTTAAGTACCATTTTGCACATTTTATTTATTATCTAATTTCATGAAAACAAGGACAGGTTCGGTTTCCTTCTTAGTTCTTAACATGAAGTTATTAAATGTATGGTGCTAAGTGAAAGGTAATATTAATCTAAAAAAAAAAAAAGTATCTATGTGTCCGTGATCCAAATAACAATAGATGTGCAAATAGACCTTTGTATTTGCATTGGGTGTGTAATGAATTATATATGCAGCTTAATGTAACGCTCATATCACATTTCTTGATTAAATAAGTCATATAAGCCAGCTGGATGGTGTGTAACACTAGGACTACCTAATGCTAACCAGGCTAAATTAAGGTGTTTCACAATAGACAAGCCACAAAATGTTACTGAAGTGCTAAGAAAAAATATCCAAACCAGCTTTTTTCCCCCCACAGTGGCGATTTTATTTCTAGGTAAATCCTTTTGTGAATAACCGTAACCCCCCCCTCCCCCCCCCAAAAAAACATGTTTTTTACCCATAGGTTACTTTTTCTCCACTGCATACCATAGGTGATCTTCCATGAAGTAAATATAAATTTATTTGGCTTATAGATCATGCCCCTGCAGTCTCACTGCTCAAATCTTTGCCATTTAAAAAGTTAAATCACTTTGTCTATGCTGCTCTAGCCACACCTCCCTGCATGTAATGTACACAGTCTACCTAAACACTTCCTGTAAAGAGAGCTCTAATACTAAAATTTCCTTTATCTATGTCTGGTAATTTGAATAGTCAAAGTGCTATAATGACCCAAAATAAGACATATGCCCACCAAATCCAAGTATCAAAATGCTAACAGTAAAAACTGAAATGGTCAGGTTGCTTATATGATACTGTAGCTTTACAGGATAGTGACAAAGGCATCCATCAGGAGTATTGTTGTACTCAGAGTACAGAGTACATCAATACAATAATGTATAAGAGTAGCAAAGATCAGGTTTACATAATACACTTTAAAAATAAACCTCTTATGTATGTTAGAAGAATATGGGGGAAAAAATCCCCCACAATATTAAAGGACCCGCCGGCGATCAGTGGGGGGTTATCCCGGTCCCCAAAGTGGTGCTACCCTGCTATCCTTTGCATGAACCGGCAATCTCCAACATGTGGCCATACTGCGACCAGAGACCCAAGATGGCCACCGAGGAGAAGCCACCACCTCACCACACTCCTGAGGAACGACTCATGTTGGACCATATCTGGTCTTAATTCTGGATGTGGAAGTCTCCTCGACTATTGTTGGGACTCAGACGGTATAGCAGCCTGGGGCTGGTGGGGTATAAACGTGCAGGACTTGGGTTTGCACCGCAGTCAGGACAGCACACAAGACATGTTAGGCATTGACTAATTAACCTGTCTACCCCCTAATGCTTTTCGTGCCTCAATTTTAGCGCTTTTTATTATACTGCTCTTAAGGCAATATGGTCAATAAGTTAGTTTCATATAACACATAATACTGTGGATGGCACCCGGTGGTACTACTTATAGTTCTCACTCATTGGTGCTGTTTTAAATTGATATAATATTGTCTGATATGCATGTTTGCAAAGCAGCACTGTCTTTAACTCGTGTTTATAAGTTAGAGAGTCAAATATAAGGCTTGCATTTCAGTTTTTTCCACATTGAAATTTGCCAGATTGGTTATGTTGCCTTTGGCTAGGGCTGCATATATAGAAACAAAAAAGAAATGTAACTTCTAAATGTCAGATAACTAAGCACAGAGTCTGCAGAGGCATGTCTATACACCAAAACTGCTCCATTACACTAAAGTTGTTTTGGTACTTAGAGTATCCCTTTACATACATTTTAAATTATGGAGGAAAAAACATTTCATCTATACATTGTGCAAGCTAATTTGCAAGAAAATTTAAAGATTTAACAATAAATTAATATGAAGATATGGCCTCTCCCTGCTACCTTTTAATTCTTGGCGTAGAGGCAGCATAGCCATTTGTGCTGGAAAATGAGTAATGGGGAGAGCAAAATAATCTTTCTGCAGGTACTCCTAAAGCAATAAAATGTATAATTTACCTCTATGGTGCATTATATAGTCATTGCTTAAAGAAAAGTTAATAGTTAAAGTGAATCGGTCATACCAGCTTCACTTTAAGAATAGCCTTATGTATATCCCAAGAATTCTGGATTTCAAGCACTGTGTTAGTCTTTATCACCACTACTGGAAGGTATCCCTTGTATCCACTGGTTTTCCTATATTAATAAACATACATAATTTACTTTACAGTACCAATGTGTCCACTAGCAGTGTGATATTGAGTACATGCAGTGAGTATATGGGTATACAGATATTAGTATTATATTAATGACAACTGTAAAATACATAAACATCACTTAGAGTGTATCGTAGTCAATCATATTACTGTACTTTATGGCAAGATATACATGCACACACCACAGATCAGCCAGGAAGTGCAAACACACAAACCACCTGATCCATCTACAAGAAGACACGTGGTTTAGACAGCCACTGAGGGCAGAATTAGTGCTTCAATGTGGTGCAAAAGGAACACAGCACCCAGACCACTGCAATCAGCTGAAGTGGTCTGGGTGCCTACAGTGTCCCTTTAAAAATGAAATAAAATTGTAACCCATTTTAAACTGATGAAATGTGAGCATCATGTAATGTATTGTAATCCCTATTCCTGTAAAACATGCTACTAATATGTAGACCAAAACGCGAGCATGGCATTAACACATGCCTGTAGTTAGATAAAATGGGACAGAAATTATATTTTTTCATGAGTAGTCACATATGGAGGGAATGGTATTTATGTTTAAAGATTAAGTGTAGATGAAATGTGTGCTTTGCCCTTTTGAAAGTTGTTACATGATAAAAAAATAGAAGTCAGACATTCTAGTGCTAGTTTTTTATATATTAGTTTCCAAGTACAGATAGTTAGAGCAAATAAAGGATTGTTATCTTATTCTGGTATTTGCAATCTAGGTGTGTAAAGTAAAAGAGAGGGAATAGGAGCTGCAAAATTTGAGTGGAGTTCTATATATGTGTTTCTGGAATTAATCCAATTATATAGTTTGATAGAAAAGTAGCACCCATTGGTATTAAAGAACATGGTTGAGAGCAAGTGGCCTTTCATATAAGGTCCAGTTCAGAAGATAAAAAGATCTTCACAAACTGGACCACATGTCAGAGTCGGGCTGGACAGAACCACTGACAACAGCTTGGCTTCTTCCTGGTAAACACTACTTCCTCCCAGTGCACAAAGCTATGTGTTGAAGAGGTAGCAACAAGCAACCTGTACCAGCTCACTTTTACTGGACCTTAAGGGAAGACACCCTTTTACAAACAAAATATTTTAAATTTTTGTATATATTTAGTTCAGTGTGTGTTGAGGAGATTAAGACTACTATCTTCGAATGACTTGGGAAGCAGTATTTTTGTTAGACTTTTATGTGGCTTGCAAGATTTCCAAACCAAAGCGAGAAGTTGAGTATGAAATGAATTTCATGTTTTAGCATGTTTTAAGAGAATTGGGAAGATCTGTAAAGAAGTAACACAAACTTTTGAATTAATGGGTGAAGTGCAACCCAGCCCATAAAGGTGTTTGCAATGTGTTCTACGATTAGGTGAAGCACAGTAATCAGAAAATACTGACACTATCACAATGTATTAGGATATACAGTGTTATTCACTAAAGTGAGAATTTAAAGTGAATTTTACATTTAGGGCCAGACTAGCTGAACTGAAAGCACAAACAGATTTTTTTTCTAGTTTGACTATTTTGTCCTTAAATTTTCACTTTAGTAAATAAACCAGATATTTTTAGATGTATAAATTTTCATGTACTTAAGGGATGAAAGAACCCAAGAGAAGGAAAGATGTAGTGAAGAATGTGATGTATAAACTGTCCCACATAAGGAGCCAGAGAAAAAGATTTAATCAAGCATACCTCCCACGTGTCCCCATTTTTGGTCCAAATCCCTGTCCCTCTTTTCTTTGAGCTCCATATATTTGGGTATATCCAAGTATGTGACAGAGCTCCACAACAATAAAACTCACAGAAATGTGCTTTTAAACTTAATGTTTTTAGAAATCAGTGTGTATAAATAAGATGCATTGTAGAATTGAATATTTGGATTTGACAGACAAGTATTTAGTAAGCAGGTGATCCCCAGACTGGTTCTCCATCAAGCTGTACACTTACCAGTTCAACCAAGACTGAGAACCATCATTAATACCCTGTGTTCATTGGGACATAATTTGAAGTAGGGCAGTGTAGAATATTCCATTCCATGCTCCTATTAATATTAGGTATGGATATTTAATGGGTTAAAAAGAGCAGGTGGTAATTTGATATTCTGTACCACGAGTAGTCTGGAATGTTGGTGTTTACCAAGAGGAGAAAATAATCTTATGTGTCCTTTAATGGCCAGAGTTTTAACTAAACTTTCTGATGCGATTATTGTCATAACTATTTAGAACATTGGACAAAGGACCACAAAGTCTATTTCCTGATTTTCTGAACAGACGCACTCTTTTCTTCCTGGACCTCTCTCCCTGGAACATAATTAAGCTGTACCATCTATCAACTTTTTTTCATATATGTACTGCTGTTTGCATTGTGAGTAGAATAAATGTATATTTTTTATATAGAAATTCAGATTGCATATTAATATTAGTGGGTGATACAGTAGAATATTACTGCAAGCCACTTACAGAAGAAAGTATATACATTAAAGACTTTCATCACTTCAATACATGCCAGCGGTTCCCAAACCAGTACTCTGGGCCAGCCACCAATCCAGGTTGTCAGTATCTCAATTGGAATAAACAACTGAAATACATAAAGCCTGTGTTGTTGGTGGGCCACGAGGACAGGTTGGGAACCAGTGATATATGCATATTTATTAGAGGCAGGCCTATGGATTTATTTGAATGGTAAAGGAGGCATAGAGTCCAGAATGCCAGCAAAACATAACACAGATATTTGTGCTAATTCAAAGGGACCAAAAGCTCATCTAGAACAAGTGGTGGACACTCTTTGCTCTCACATTGCTCATAAATACAGAGATACACCATTGATTTTTGTAGCACGTAAGGCCCCCATTTGGAACAAAGTAATGTTAAATATGACTATAGCTATACCTGATCATTTAAAGGTATTCCTTGAGACATTTTAGTTTTGTTCTCCAGTGGATGATAGTCATCAGCATCATAGAATTTCCAGCCCATCTACAACAGAAATGAAAAATTCTTAAAAAACAAACCAAAAACCTACAGAACATCTCTTGTTGTTCCCTATGCATGTTACAATCACATCAACATGATTAGTGTGCTCTCTGAATGCGTCCAAGGACAGCTTTCCTCTACTGCCACTAGTGTTTGCAAAATTATAGAGTAAACAACTCAGATATAACACTGATAGACACAAAACTGTCCTGCCTGGTAACTCACTAACCCCATTTCTACAAGGCAGGAACAAAATGGTGGAATAAGCATAACAGATTGGTCATGAAACCTTACATTATGTTTTAAAGAAGGTTAAGCATAAGGTTTCATGTAATTATATGAGGTTGCATAAAAAAATAAAAAAAATAAAAAAAATCTATTTGTAAGGCACAGCCTGCACTAGACTCTGACCCATGGACTGTAATGATTAACTTAATCAAATGATTCATCTCTAAAAAATAAACTGGGCTTCACAGTTTGTGCAGCTGTATATTTATATATATATATGCATTACAAAGCTCATGACTGTCCTACATCACATACAATAGCCATTCCTTAAGACATGATCACGGTATACCCCACAATTACTTTGCCCTCTTTCTACCCTACTTTGAGAGTGGATGAAGTGTCACAGAAGTATTCTCAAAGATATTTTACTGAACGGTTTTGTTTTCCATTTTCCTTCTCTATACCATTCATCCATTTTTTTGTTTCAGCTTCATAATCACCAAAGTTATTGGCAAATTTCCTAGTACAAATCTTAGTAGGAATAAGTAATACAAGTCTTTTATGTTCAAAAAACAAGAATGATAAGACATACCACTTAGCTCAGATATTTATTAACTTTGGAATGAGGATAAGTCTCCTCAAGGGAGAAAATTATACAATTAAGAATGGGCTGGTTAGTATACAAGAGTTAGGGTTGGTTGATGTTAAAATCCAAGGCCCATATGCGACAGCAGTTGCAACTTGCCCTGTCCTGGTTTCTTTCAGAACTGAAGACAAGAACCTGAGGCATACCATTTCATCTGCTATTAGGTGATGGTAAAGAAATTGTAATGTCACCCAATGAGCTTACTACCTTGGAGGGCAACATGCGCTATAGCTCTATCTTGGGGTTTCACTAGCAGTTGCTTATGCTTGGAGTCAGCTAAACCCCGTCAAGTTATTGGCTGGTATCCAGCTGATAACATCACTAGGTCTGTCATTTTGCAAGTTTAGTCCAGAAACCTTTAATCAGTTCATCAAAAGAGTCTGATGCTTCCACATCCAGCAGCAATGGTTTGTGTATTTGAGTGGAGGAGCACTCTGCTGGGATGATTTTGAGAGGCCCTTTGTCAATCGCTACTTAGGGGAGTGCGTCAGGGCCCACCTGGCACCATAACCACTACAGCAGGCTGCAGTCATGGTGCTTAGAGTGCACAGTTTATAGATGTGCAGTAACTGCTGTGCCTCAATCATAGGTCTCCAATGCATTTGACTGGACAGATGATGATCTCAAAAGAGGCAGAATGGCTGCTGAGAGGAGACAGTTAAAGGGCTGGATTACAGCTATGTATCTACTGTATTTTCTGGCGTATAAGATGACTTTTTAACCCTGGAAAATCTTCTCCAAAGTCAGGGGTCGTCTTATACGCCGGGTATAGGGTCTATATGGCTGTCGTGGGCGCCCAGCACCCCCATCGCCGGCCCTTCTAATGCTGCTATAGCGAGTGCTCAGACGGCTGCCGCACTGCCTCTCTTCTCACCTCCCCTTCCCTGTGCAGAGTGGGTGGCCGTGCTCCTCTTCGTCCTGTCAGTCCGGCCGGGTACCGCGCGGTACAGGAGATTCAGTTACCTGTTCCCGGCCGGACTGAAAGGAAGTGCACACTGAGTGCTCACTTCCTTTCAGTCCGGCCGGGAATAGGTAACTGAATCTCCTGTACCGCGCGGTACCCGGCCGGACTGACAGGACGAAGAGGAGCACGGCCACCCACTCTGCACAGGGAAAGGGAGGTGAGAAGAATGTAGGGAGGATTGGGGAGTAAAAGAATGGAGGGGGGGAGTAAAAAGAATGGAGGTAGGGAGTAAAAAGAATGGAGGAGGGGAGTAAAAAAAATGGAGGGGGGGGGAGTAAAAAGAGAATATATCGCAATTAGCCTCCTGTGTGCTAGACCAGCAGGCATGGATTATATGCCCAAACAGCCTGGCACATACCTGGGCTTTAAATGCTATTTCAGATTATCATTATTTAATGTCTTGCTGTGTAGCTGTCTGCTCACTGTACATCATGGCTAATTTTTATTTGGTGTGCATTGGAAGAGGGGTAGTCTTATACGGCGAGTATATCCCAAACTCTATATTTTAACTGGAAAAGTTGGGGGTCGTCTTATACGCCCAGTCGTCTTATACGCCGGAAAATACGGTAGGTTTAATGGTGATGATGTAGTGGTTATAGAGCTAGGAAAGCCCTGGCTCCCCAACCTTGTAAGCAATCAAATGGTTTTAGAACTGTTTGACTTCTTACCATTTTTCTGTTAGATGCCACTGGATATTTAGCTCAGAGCTGAGAGCTTTCAGCTGCAGTGGAGGCAAGGAGCAGGGTCTGATGGACCACAGATGAGAAGTCACATCTTTTTAAAATAGTTTTACTATTTACAATGGAAGAACACCAAGGCACTCCTGTAGTTATTGTGCCTGGAGTTATCCTAGTAGCAAGGAGAGCAAGCGGTAAACAGAGTTGGGTGAAAGTTCATGGGAAGACACAGATGTATTTTGCGCAGATCTCTAGTACAGTCTTATATGATAAATGGGGAGAGTATCAAAATGTTCTATTCTTAAAAGTGGTCCAAAGAATGTGTCTACAAGTTCCACTAGTTTCCATGGCGATTGTTGCACTTTTAGTACTTTAGACCATTTTTTAGAACAGAACCTCTCACTCATGTCTATACTTTTGGAGTTTCAGGATTTCTCCAATTAATACTTACAATGGATGGCTTTTGCTGATAACCTGATGTGAAGTTTGACACTTTCATAATAATACAGGTAGCAGACTGTCACAAAATACATAAGGCCCAGGGCTTTGCAACTTATTTACAAATATCAGATAAAGAATGAAATCTTAGACCAAGGATATGATTTATAGTTTTTTTCCTTTAAGGAAAACTCAGCACCATAGTATTCTGTAGTGGTTATGGTGCCAGTAGAGCCCCGGTGCTTCTCCCACTGTGAGTTTTAAAACAGTTTGACTTCTAAGGATTTATATTTTGCTTTACTTTCCTTTAAAAGTGCCAAAAACAAAGTAAGTTCATAAGCGACCTCTGTATATAAATCTTTAGTCAACGATGCCACAATTAATTTATAAGCTATGTCTTACCTTCTTTGCCAGTAAAGATCCCACTTCAGTCCTGTAGAAAGAAATACATATTTTTAAACGTAGGTTACTATAGAATATTTATCAAATGTAAATTGGTCGGCAAATGTTGCAGACCGTTAATTTCACAAGCAAGAACAATAGCTCCTATAAAAAGTATATTAAAAATAATAATTTATTCCATGATTTACAACCTGAAGGCTTAGTCAGCTCAAGACTATAGAGGAGTTTGAGAAGTTTTCCAAATCAACCATCTTTGCCCAAATTAGGTTCTCAATTCACTGCTATTTACAAGTGTGAAGTCATATTGAATTCACAGTGAAGTTCAAATTTTAGAGCAAGGTAGCAAAACTGAAAAGATAATTGACAGACGTTTTCCAGACTGTTTTGACTTAAATTCGAAATTCACTTTGAATTCTCACTTTAGTGAATAACCAAGGGTGGCTTGTCCATGGAGGCGTAGGGACAATCGAAAAATAAAAACAAATATACGTTGCTTTGGTTAGGACTACTATTTATATTTCCTTTGGGTAATTTAACTTTTAATTACATTTTTTTGAAGAGTGTGTGCACTGTCATGACCAGAATTCTCAGCACCAGAAATAAACGCTCTATTTTCAGGCTATACATGGCATCTATCAGCTCTACCATTCTTCCTTAGCTCTGCCCAGCTCCCAATCACCCAAATCATGAAAAACACTCCAGAAGACAGGTTTGTGCACTAGTCAGTCTTACCAAGCTGTCATAGGTTGCTAGGACAAGGTGGTGGAGTGTGCAGTCCCCCACTTACCTGGGTGCTTTTGAATGTGTTAGACGCTATGTAAGTATGCGAACCAGGGAGAGTCTATTTATTTAACTTTTTTTCTAAAACAGCAAAACCTTTTACCTTCCAGTTAAACCAATGTGTGTAATGTGTAGATAGTACGTTCTTTCGAGCAGAGTCCTCATTAGCCTATTGTTCCTGTAACATTTATAATTTTCTCGCTTATTGGTAAATTCCACCCTTTATAATAGTGTTCAGCACTGCGGAATAAGTTGGCGCTATATATATATCTATATATATATATATATATATATATCTATATATATATATATATATATATCTGTATCTATATCTATATCAACACACAAACCCTACACCAAAAAAAAAGAGAAATGAAAACTAAAGTAAAATAATACTTATCTTAAAAAACAGATTCCCATAGCTCACCTCCCAGACAACGATCTCATTCAACCGACAAAGATACAAAGTTCAAAGAATGTGGGATACAACTGATGTTCCAAATACAATACAAATAAACACAACATAGGGTCATTTTGTTAATTATATAGTGATCACGCGATATTAAATTGCCCTCACAAAGGAACATGTATTCACACACTTCCAATGTGCCTTCCCCAAAGATGATGAGGGGCTATACACCCTAGTGGTCACCACTTGATCAGGAAAGAGACTTGGATCTAGATAAATAGGTATCAAGTATTTATTGGCAAATTGTGGTTAAAAATATATAAAAGCGGCAGGTCCTAAGCGTTTTGTTTTTATTATAGTAACTTCCTGAGGGACCGCAACAATAATATGAAATGACAATTGTGCAAAACAGCAATGTACAAAACATACAGCCTAATCACTATCTCTCACAAGTCCCTTTAAAAAGGGCTACTCCAATATACTCCATTGGTGGTGTGGTGAGCGTCCTTAATTTCCTCCTACCAGTTTGGTGGAGCAGAGAGAATGGTTTAATGAGCACTGCAGAGAGAGAATGGGGTAATGAAAATTGGAGTAACTGCCTGGTACACGATGCTGAAAACTCACTGATCCCCAGCGTACACTGCCTACCTGTGGTTGATAGGAGAAATAAGGGGAACCTTACTGAGTCTTTGCCCGAGGTGAAAGAATGTAGCGTCACCACTGAATGTGCATATTGTGTATTGAAAACTGAGTGTTGTGTATTGTAATCTCATGACAATAAAATACACAAAGTATTGTTTATTGTACTGAAATGTGATTAAAGTCACTTGGGATGAACTATGAAATAAAATTGTGATGCAGGCACTCACGGTAGTAGCCAAAATAGCAGCTTTATTGGAGCAACGTTTCCTAAAGACCCGCTGGGTCAAACTGTTGCTGTCTTTGCTCCAATAAAGCTGCTATTTTGGCTACTACCTTGAGTGCCTGGACCACTATTTTATTGCATATATCTAAAAGTGGGGTTTGGCCATCCTCTGATTTGGTGCTCCTTGGATACCTGGTGGGTGTGGTATCCTCTACTTTTCTACTATGGAGACACTAGACTAGTTGAACATTTTTTTTCTATCATGTAGCCCATGGAATAACAGAATAGGTGGAATAGGCCTTGACAGATGTAGGGGCAGGCATAGGAAGTAAGTGGGGAGGGGTTAGTAGGGATGGGCTTAGTGGGAGTATATATGGCAGCCATCTTAAAGATTGCCCCCTCTTACCTATGGTTGTGTAGGGTCGGTGTCTCCCTTTTGTCTTCCAGATGGATTCCGTGGAGGCCTTCCTGGCAAGTGTCCGAGCGATAGTGGAGCAGCGTGGCGTGGAATGGACCCAAGAGAGATGCGTTTTCTGACGCCATCGGGCTGACCAGCGCGGAGGGCCAGACCGCCTAAGTCCCATTTCTATACCAGCAAGGATGCCCGGTTATCTGAACGTGGTGGCTGATGCATTGTCTCGTTCACAGTGGGAGCACTTTCGGATGATGGCGCCTGGTGCGCAGGAGAACGGTCAAGAATGTTCTGAAGAGATGTGGCGGCTCGGGACGTCCTGTATGGAAGGCTGATATGGCAGTCTTTAGCACCAGGAACATAGTGTCAGGATTACTAGTTGATCCAGCATGCAGAACTGTATCACACCTAGGACTAAAGGTAACGTCTTACCGGGCCTTAGAATGGCCGGACTTAACGTACCAAAGAATAGTCAGAATACTTGCCGAGGTCGGGGATACGGAAATAGACAGTCAAGGATTCAAAAATACAGGGACGTCAAACAAAGCTACAGGCAATAACCAGAAATAAACACTCAGGAACACTCTTAGACAACCATAACAGGGCAATAAGGGAAGGCAAGAAAGGAGTTTAAATAAGTCTCCTTTAAATCCGATTGGCCGTACCCGGCCTATGACCCCAGAACGTGCGTGCGCATCCTTTGAGTGACGTCACACGCACGCTGACGTCAATACCGTGGGCAAACGTGAGGCTACAAATTGGTATGGATCTGCAGTGGCCGGCGTCTTTCAACATGCTGCAGGAGCCAGATATACCGGCACAGAGCCGCTGACCAGCATCTCCACCAATGCCAGGAAGGTAGTTATGCTCATGGACAGCACAAGGTGAGGATGAACATGTGACATTACCCCCCACATGTAGACCGCTCACTGGGCGGGCAGGACCAGATTTTTGGGGAAACTTGGCATGGAAATAACGAATCTTGCGACCGGCATAATATCGGAAGCCGGAACCCAAGAACATTCGGAAGGCCCATACCCCCTCCAAATCAACCAAATATTGTAAGGAACCGCTAGAAAACCTGGAGTCGATTATGGAAGAGATTTCATACTCTTCCTGTCCAGAAACAACCAACGGGGGAATTAGTGAGGCTTATGAAGAAGGATGTGGACCGGGTACGGGAACTGGTTCCTGACATGATTGTGGTGTGGTCTGAGGGGATTCCTCGGCAGCAGTGGAGGCATGCTATGGACCTTGTCGTGGTGGCTTGGTGTGGGGGACAGATTAACAAGACAATGTCAGTTTTCATACAGTTGACAGGTGGAGTAGTAGTGAGGCATCGGGAACTGGAAGGAATGCTTCCTGGGTATTATCGGCCAGATAGGGTGCATTGTTATGATATGCTTAATCTTGGGTTTCAGGAGGGTATAAGCAAGGTACTGTTTTTGAAGGGTGGGGGTGCTCAGGTGGCTTAGGGGACTCAAGACCTGAGCTCTGGCTGGGTAGAGTTGAGTTGAGAACTAGCAGGGTTAGGTTAAGTGGCAAATACTCACGGGGTTACAGTGGGTCGGTAGGTTCGAGCTCGTTGGTGGCTCTGAACCAGGGGGTGTAGGGGGTGTCATGGTATACCCCTACGGATTGTTATGTTTCATGTTATAACGTTACTGTTGTATTATGTTTCATATGTATGTGTGGGTCTTTGCCTGGGTTAATTACAGGCAACAGAGGGTTGTAGTTAATGGAATATATTCGAAGCCTGGACTTGTCACCAGTGGGGTACCTCAGGGATCTGTACTTGGACCCATTCTCTTTAATATTTTTATTAGGGATATTGCAGAAGGTCTTGTTGGTAAGGTATGTATTTTTGCTGATGATACTAAGATATGTAACAGGGTTGATGTTCCAGGAGGGATAAGCCAAATGACAAATGATTTAGGTAAACTAGAAAAATGGTCAGAATTGTGGCAACTGACATTTAATGTGGATAAGTGCAAGATAATGCATCTTGGACGTAAAAACCCAAGGGCAGAGTACAGAATATTTGATAGAGTCCTAACCTCAACATATGAGGAAAGGGATTTAGGGGTGATTATTTCTGATGACTTAAAGGTAGGCAGAAAATGTAATAGAGCAGCAGGAAATACTAGCAGAATGCTTGGTTGTATAGGGCAGTGTTTCCCAACCCAGTCCTCAAGGCACACCTACCAGTCCAGGATTTAGGGATTACTGGGTGTGTCTAAGGTGTTTTTACAAAGAAGAAAAAAAACACCTTAGACACAACTGGGTAATCCCTAAATCCTGGACTGGTAGGTGTGCCTTGAGGACTGGGTTGGGAAACACTGGTATAGGGAGAGGTATTAGCAGTAGAAAGAGGGAAGTGCTCATGCCATTGTACAGAACACTGGTGAGACCTCACTTGGAGTATTGTACACAGTACTGGAGACCGTATCTTCAGAAGGATATTGATACCTTAGAGAGGGTTCAGAGAAGGGCTACTAAACTGGTTCATGGATTGCGGGATAAAACTTACCAGGAAAGGTTAAAGGATCTTAACATGTATAGCTTGGAGGAAAGACGAGACAGGGGGGATATGATAGAAACATTTTAATATATAAAGGGAATCAACACAGTAAAGGAGGAGACTATATTTAACCCCTTAAGACCGGAGGGCATACTATTACGCCCTATTCTAAGCGGCTCTAAACGCGTAATAGTACGCCCTCCGGTCTTTTCCTACTTCCCCGGTCACCGGCAATCGCGGTTCGGGGCACTCCCAGGGAGCCCCCCGCGGCACGTCCGTCCTCCTGGAAGTCCCCGGCCATGTGAGAGTGGGGTCCTTGCGAGGACCCCACAATCACATGGCCGGGGGTAGCTGGCTGCAGCATTGCCAGCAGGGGGGCTGCCTGTAATGACAGGTGGTCCCCCTGCTGGCTAAAAATAAAATTAAATAAAATAAATAGTGTAAAAAAAATAATAATATATACTTAGATCATATATATATATATATATATATATATATATATACACACACACATATACATACACACACGTACACTGTCTAGGTGTATTTTACTATTAATATATATATATATATATATATTAATATCAAATTACACGTAGACTGATACTGATTAAATATATAATTATTGTTATATATATATTTATATATAATATAAAAAAAAAAATGTAAATACGTTAAAAAATAAAATTAAAAAAATAATTGAAGGGGGGCGGAGTCAGCAAGGCAACGGAGCGGTCGAATATCTCGGAGCTCCGGCTCTTACTAACCTCAACGAGGCTTTTTATGGGGGATTCCGGGGCCCAAAGACCCCACAAACCTCACAACAGCTGGTAGACCCACCATGGGCCGCAAAACGAAAAAAGTAAAAGCGGACAGAAACTCCCAAGGGAGGCCTGCTCGAGCAACCACGATACCAGAATCAGCAAGGTGGAACAGTAGGTAGCAGACCTGGCACAGCAACAACTAACCACATCTGACAGGCTAGACGCTATAGAGGACCAAAAGAGGCGATACAACCTAAAGGTCAGGGGGATCCCGGACTCGATCGACATCGCCGACCTACCCCACTATATACGGCGCTTTATCGGAGGCTTGCTCCCACCAAAGCAGGTGAAATCCCTGAGGCTAGATGGTATGTTCCGGGTACCGAAGCCAGCTAGAGCACCGGCATCAGCAACAGCCGACCTCGTCCTCAGATTTCAAACCCTCTCAGACAAAGCCTCACTCCTGGCGGCACTGCGAGGGAAAACTCCTACACCATTCGAGGGCTCTTCCATCACAGTCTTCCCAGACCTCACCAGGAGCACCCTCACATGGCGGAAATCGCTACAACCCCTGCTGCAACACCTACGTGCCAAAGAAATTCCCTACAAATGGGGAATACCACGAGTTGTCATATTTACAAACAACGGGACTACCCACAGAGCACAGGGATACCAGGAGCTGGAAGCGCACCTCCAATCAACGGGCATCTGGCGAGCCTTACTGCCGACGGGAACAGGACTGTCCAGGCTAAACCCGGCTACCATTCCGGAATTCACCCCGAGAGGCAAACAACGAGTCTCACCTAACCGACCACCCACCTGAGGGAGCGGAGATTGAATCGCCCAAGGGGACTTTGTATACCATCATCACTACACACCATGTCTACCACAGTTGGAAAATGTTTTCTACCACAGTTGGAAAATGTTTTCTTTTCCTTTCAATACTTATATGTTATTATTTTCCTTTATTTTCTATTATCCTAGCTCTGCTTGTTGAGCAACCCTAATTAACCTGCACAGCCCAATAGCCTAGAATGCAACCACCGAAGTAGTTTCATAATGAGCACTATAAATATACAAAGAGAGGAAGTATTAGCACTTAGTAAGGGCTGCCAAACATATCGCATAACCCAGTAATCACTCTCGCTCACCACTCCATACCCCCCCTCCTTCCAGGGAACCAACACTAACAACCAACTCTAATACACTACACACATAGTCGAGGGGAAGGAGGAAAGACCCCGTAGTGGATACCACCAAACTGACTCACACTCTTACCATACCCACAAGGGGCTCACTGGCTGATTTCTCTTACCATGTCTTGCATAATGTACTTATAAAACATAAAAAATTTGCTATGTTAATTGATGCCAACAAACGTTTTCTACTGTTGAATGTAAAGCTAGCAACAGCTGTTGGGGCATTGCTGGCCTATTTGTACCCTACATGCATGAATAAATAAATAAAGAATTTAAAAAAATAATAATAATTAAAAATAAATAATTAAAAAATATATAGATGTGTGTTATTTTGTTCTAACTGTATTGTGAAATTAATATATATATATATATAAATACACGTAGAATGAAATAATATATATATATCTATATACATAAATATATATGTATATATCACTATATATATACACACCTATATATAAATAAAAATATTTAAAAAAATTATATAGATATATACATATATATACACACACATACGTATATATATATATATATACACATATATTAATTCTACATATATTTATGTAATATTTTTACATAATTAGGTATCTTAATTAATTACAATTAGCGGGACCTGCCTGACAACCCATGCCGAAAGTAAAGGGAATTTAATTTGCTAGCACTATATTTAACCCTATAACTTTCCAAGACACCATAAAACCTGTACATGGGGGGTACTGTTCTACTCGGGAGACTTTGCTGAACACAAATATTAGTATTTCAAAACAGTAAAATGTATTACAACGATGATATTGCCAGTAAATGTGACGTTTTTGCATTTTTCACGCACAAACAGCACTTACACGGATGATATTATTGCTGCGATACTTTTTACTGTTTTGAAACACAAAGCGTCAAATATAAGGCTTGCGTTTCATTTTTTTCACATTAAAATTCGCCAGATTGGTTATGTTGCCTTTGAGGCCCTATGGTAGCCCAAGAATGAAAATTACCCCTATGATTGCATACCATTTGCAATAGTAGACAACCCAAGGTATTGCAAACAGGGTATGTCCAGTCTTTTTTAGTAGCCACATAGTCACAAACACTGGCCAAAATTGGCGTTTTTTTGCATTTTTCACACAAACAGATACTAACGCTAACTTTGGCCAGTGTTTGTGACCAAATGGCTACTAAAAAAGACTGGATATACCCCATTTGCAATACCTTGGGTTGTCTACTATTGCAAATGGTATGCCATTATGGGTGTAAATTTCATTCCTGGGCTACTACAAAGTCCCAAAGGCAACGTAACCAATCTGGCGAATTTCAATTTCAAATGTAACGTGCTATATTTGACCCTGTAACTGCCCAAAACGCCATAAAACCTGTACATAGGGGGTACTGTCTTACACGTGAGACTTTACTGAATACAAATATGTTTTTTTTATTGCAGTAAAAGCAAACAGTATTATGACATTGACCGTTAAAATGTCATGTAGAAGTAAAAACATTTTTTTTAAATCGTATTTTCTCCCATTTTTTTCATGTTAAATTATGTTTCATAGCTAAATATTTGATATTAAATTAAAGCCCTGTTTCCCCTGAATAAAATGATATATAATAAGGGTGGGTGCATTTACTATGAAAGAGATGAATTACGATTGGACAGACATGTAGCGCAAATGCCAGGTTTTGTTTACATTTTGTTTTGTTCACAACGTGTACATTTGGCTCCGTCCTTAAGGGGTTAAAAGAAGAAAAACTACCACAACAAGAGGACATAGTCTTAAATTAGAGGGGCAAAGGTTTAAAAATATCAGGAAGTATTACTTTACTGAGAGGGTAGTGGATGCATGGAATAGTCTTCCAGCTGAAGTGGTAGAGGTTAACACAGTAAAGGAGTTTAAGCATGCGTGGGATAGGCATAAGGTTATCCTAACTATAAGATAAGGCTAGGGACTAATGAAAGTATTTAGAAAATTGGGCAGACTAGATGGGCCGAATGGTTCTTATCTGCCGTCACATTCTATGTTTCTATGTGGTGGGCGAAGGACGTTTAAGTAACGTGTGTTTGGAGGTGGCAATGACCTTGCATTTTTATATGTGTTAAAGGTACACTATAGCTTTAGCTTAATGAAGCAGTTTTGGTGTATAGAACATGCCCCTGCAGCCTCACTGCTCAATCCTCTGCCATTTAGGAGTTAAATTCCTTTGTTTATGAACCCAAGTCACACCTCCCTGCATGTGACTTGCACAGCCTTCCATAAACACTTCCTGTAAAGAGAGGCCTATTTAGGCTTTCTTTATTGCAAGTTCTGTTTAATTAAGATTTTCTTATCCCCTGCTATGTTAATAGCTTGCTAGACCCTGCAAGAGCCTCCTGTATGTGATTAAAGTTCAATTTAGAGATTGAGATACAACTATTTAAGGTAAATTACATCTGTTTGAAAGTGAAACCACTATGCACATGTCATGATTTTCTGTCTGTTTATCCAACGATTTTGCTGCCGTTAAAATGCTGCTTACTAAATAGCATTGTAGAATTCAATCTGAGCAAGTGGGGGCTATGGGGTTCATTCACAAATTCCCCAACTGCAGGTTGACTGCACACTATGCAAATGCTCTTGCTGCTTCCGTCTCTCTAACATGGTCATGTTCTCTTTCTTCTACACTCACTACATACACCTTTTCTCTGTCCCAGACTGTATAACAGGAGCTTCTGCCTGCTAGTAAGGCTAGTAGAGGAGTGGACCAGGAAGTGCTAAAGGACAGACAGACGCATTTATGACAAGCTCACGGTGCTCTCTTTATGGTATGCACTTTGATAGCCAGCATGTATGATTGGCAGGAAGCCAGTCATGCAATTACACCAGGCTGACCTAATTATTCAGGCAAACACAACCCCTTTCTGGGCATGTTCGCCTCTTTGGGTGGTTCTGGTGATGTGACTTGCGTCAGTGGCTCACACTAATATCCCGCTATTTGTTATTTGATGTATCTGTTGCCATTCAACAATAAAATAAACACAATGAATAAAATTGAGTTTAGCGAATAAACACATTTCAAATAAGTTATTTAATATTTATTTCATAATTAATATTGTTTTGCGCAATGCTACCATAAGCCTATAGTGTTGAACAGGATATGACATCTCACTGGTCAGGGGTAGAGCATGTTAGGTGGGCCGGGACACAACAGGTTGGAGGGGGGGGGGTGAAAAATTGGTGGTGGACTTTAGAGTCCCACCATCTTAAAACCCCTATGTGTTTAGGTAATAAACTTTGCCAGTCAAGCTTTCCCCATTATAAATATAAAATAGGTTAAGCAACACTGAAAGTCTACAAGGTTTCATTTACAAATGCTGCATACACTAAACATATTAAGTTACATAAATAAATGGAAAAAATAAACAAAAATACCTTCCTCTTCTAATAACTCATAATTAGTAACCTTACTGGCATACTCAAAAGTATGCCAGTAAGGTTACTAATTATGAGTTATTAGAAGAGGAAGGTATTTTTATTTATTTTTTCCATTTGTCTTATATTGTATAGGTTGTTAGGTCTCCTATTCTTGTACCTTATCTCTCATCTATTTTTTAGCTAATCAGCGCTCCACTAACCACATATTTTAAGTTACATAAATAATTAGTTTCCACTCCATACAATGCACATTGCAATGCAATGCCCCCATACACAATACACACATTGCAATGCCCTTATACAATAAACCTTGCCATGCCCCTCATCCAATACACCTTGCAATGCCCTCACTCTGCTCTGCGATAGCAGCACAGAATAAGGTCTGCAGCTCTTCACCCATATAACCAGACTTGCAGCACACTAGGACCTCCTGACTGCGAATACCTACTTCCCGGATCCACTAACTCCCATAATCACGACAATCATGATAGCACAGGTTATTATATAAACAGTCACCAGCTCGCGTGATACAAACAGGAAGCAGAGAGTTGATCCCTCCTTATAGTGTGTACTGATGTCCTGTAATATGAGCACCCTACAGGCTGATCATGGTATTGCAGGCTGTGGACAGCAATACTGCAAATATAGAGCTGCTTAGTGCAAAATACCCCCTTAAGAAAGAAATCCCCAAGTTAAATTCTCAGTACAAATCTACAATTCTGGATAAACAGATTTCCAATGGCTAATTATCTAAACTCTCTCGTAAGTATGTTAATATGTTTGATGCATTATGACATCACTGAAACGTCACTGCAGGTGAGATGATATCACCGAACAACATCCACAGTGCACATTTTTTTTACTCAGGAAAAAGAGGCACATTAGCAGCCAAGTCACAGACAGGAGAAACCTACCTAAGAAAGTCAATGTTATCAGTAGGAGTAAGTAGGAGAAAGAAGCTGTCTAATATAGACAGAGGAGAATTGCAGGTGATGGGGATTTGTGATGGCCAGTTGCACTAATTTAAGAAGTTAAATTATATAAGTATTTATATTGATAGGGTGGTCAAGGAGTAGAGGTGATTAATGTGGATTGCTGTGGATAGGGGAGCTGATATGGAGACAGGAATAGCATGTAAAATGGGAAACATCAGGGAGGGCTCGCAGCTTTTGGCCAGGGGACAAGTACAAATGAAAGGCCTTTTTTGGACACAATTTTTTCCCAGATCTCTGTGTGGATTGACCTATTCAGAGCATGAAATATATGAATATGATAGATGGAGGTTCAGGGTGTGACAACATCTATCCTGCTATCTCCATTAATTTCCCCCCTGCACAAATTGGGAAGGGGGAGCATGACTGCTTCCCATGTATGGTGTGCTGGTCTTAAATGGATAAATTGTTGCAAATGCAAGGGGCAGCAGAGACATTAGCATCAACCTGGCTAAATTTCCCACCCAAGTTGTTGGTGGTTTGGTGTCTTGCTGTTTGTTTCTTGTTTTGTCACAGCTTGGCGGGATCCCTGGACAGCGCAACTGGGAATAAAGGAGGAAGCCAGGAGTCGAATTGGGGAGATGACAAAACCCACAAGGGCTGATGGCAAGTATTGGCTGTTGAGGCTATTGGGAAAAAGAGGTGGAGAACTGTCTGTTGGATTAACGTCCATCAGCTGACAGTTTATGGTTATTTGAATTGAGTTGAATTTAATAAAGCTGTGGCCGTTTCCCTTATCCACAGAAAAGGTGTGTGGTGTCTTATTGGGGGGGAAATGGGGAAAAGGAGTAATGGGTCAGCCGTCATGTCCTGCACACATGGTGGAGCATTCAGAGAGAACTCTGCATGTCTACGTGACAGACTCAAGGTTGTTGCTCACCATCCTTGATAGCAGAACTGCCATAAAACCAGTTTTCATTGAAACGCTAACTTGTCAGGATTTAATGTGCACTTGTCATTCAAGTATGTATATTTTTTCCAACTCTGCTACTTTGACCTTAATTTTGCATCTCAGTTGTCAAGTCGCCACAAATCACTGTTTTGTGAGCTTCTTATCTGACAAGCTAAAGCCTCACCATGATTAATACAGATACTGTTGAATGTTAAGATTGTAGATGGCATTTAAAGCTATATCAACTCATCCTTTTTCTTCTTGTTTAAATTTACTAAGAGAATTCCTCCCTGCACTGCAGTTTCATTTATTGACAAAATGCTTACTCTATCAGGTTTGCAATCAATTTACCAGTTCACGATTATCTTGTCTGTTTGGGATCAATTTCTTTAACTTAACGTTCTTTAAAGGACCACTATATGCACCCAGACCACTTCAGCTCAATTTAGTGGTCTGGGTGCCAGGTCCCTCTAGTTTTAACCCTGCAGTCGAAAACATAGCAATTTCAGAGAAACTGCTATGTTTCACTGAGGGTTAATCCAGCCTCTAGTGGCTGTCTCACTGACAGCTGCTAGAGGCGCCTCCGCGATTCTCACTGAAATTCACAGTGAGAAGACGCTGGACGTCCATAGGAAAGCATTGAGTAATGCTTTTCTATGGGCGGTTTGAATGCGCACGCAGCTCTTGCCACATATGCGCATTCTGATCTGACGTCGGGAGAAGGAGAGCTCCCCAGCACAGAGGCCCAACACTGGAAAAATGTAAGTGGCTAGCTCAGCAGGAGGGGGTCCCTGAGGGTTGCGGGGACCTAATGACCCTATAGTGCAAGGAAAATGAGTTTGTTTTCCTGGCACTATAGTGCTCCTTTAATACATGCAGCTATATTTTTTTATTGAAAAACTTTTTTTGTTAAGTTTTATGTTTGCTGTTTGAGGTGTGTCAGCACCATAACCACTCCTTTAAAACAATAAAAAAGATGTTATGGCAAATAAGAGAGACTATGGGTTTCTTAGCGCTTTGGTAAATTGACTTGCAAATGTGCAATAAGTAAAAATAAATAGAAATGCAAATTTTTTTTCCAATGTGCTGTAATATACACTAAACACAGAGAAGCTTAGAAATATGGACAAAAGAAACATGAAGTCAAGACAATAACAATGGCTTAGCTTGTGGAGGAGGATAAAACTGATTCACAGATGAAGCAAAGACCCAGCCAAAAGGTATGGGGGTGACACTGCAGAGACTACAATACTGTGAAATGTAAATATTAAACTGTATCTCTTAGGTAAACTACATGATTTGGGATTGCAAGGATGTCAAGAAGTGTAAGAGAATTTGTGCTTCTTGCACCTTAGATTTAAAACCATGGCTTCCATCAGAACTTAGCAGACACTAATACTCACACACAGATATCTACACAGGTGCACATTCCCATTCTCATGCATTCTTACAGACACACACTTGCACATTACAGATACACACTGTCCCACAGAAAAACACATTGCACAGATACATCCAAATGAGTTTTAGCCACCCTCCTCTTTGCCTAACCGAGGATGGCTTCCATGTGATGGGGCATTGAGGTGTTCTGGGGCTGCAGATGGTGCAGGGCTTTCATGGGAAAGGTATATGGATATATGCACACATGGCTTACATAGTTGAATGCATTTATTAAAATATTAAAGGTATTAAAAATCCACACACAGGTACAATAATGTAATAAACAGAACCGCCAATGTTCCAATGCTCCTGTGTCCTGGTTCATAAGATGTACATGCTTCTTCCAATGATACAGTATCTGGGAGTCTGCGAGAGTGAAACAAAACTCAATGATCACTTAGTTCCTACATGTTTTGTATGACTGCACCTCCTTCATCAGGGAATATTGGTGATAATCTATAATATCATCAGAAATACACTCCTAATTGTTTAGTAAATAATTCTCCAATTAATAACATAACATTATCTGCCCCTGGTCTCTTATTAAGATTACAATTAAATGAAACAGCTCTTATTCGTCGAGGCATGGACTCCACAAGACCTCTGAACGTGTCCTGTGGTATCTGGTATCAAGACATTAGCAGCAGATCCTTTAAGTCCTGCAAGTTGTGAGGTGGGGCCTCCATGGATGGGATTTGTTGTTCCAGCACATCCCACAGGTGCTCAATTGGATTGAGATCTGGGGAATTTGGAGGCCAAGGCAACACCTTGAACTCTGTCATGTTCCTCAAACCCTTCCTAAATATTTTTTTGCTGTAGGAAAGGGTGCATTATCCTGCTGAAAGAGGCCACTGCCATCAGGTAACATTATCAACATGAAGAGGTGTACATTGATGTGCAATAATCTCTAGGTAGGTAGTACATGTCAAAGTAACATCCACATGAATAGCAGGACCCAAGGTTTCCCAGCAGAGCATTGCCCATAACCAGGGACGTATTAGCCGCGAGGCAAACAAGGCATTTGCCTTGGGCGGCATTTTTCAGGGGGCGGCAAAAAACGCCGCCCCCCAAATGCCCAGGGCAGATGCCTTGTTAGCCTTGCGGCTAACTGACATCCCGAGCGGGCGGGCGGGCAGCGCTGGCAGGCGGGCGGCCGGCGAGGGAGCACTTCCCATGTGCTGACTGCTCAGCTCCCTCGCGCACCGCAAAGTGAGGCTGGGAGACGGAAGATGACGTCATCTTCCGGTTCCCAGCCTCACTCTGCAGCCGACGCGCGAGGGAGCTGAGCAGTCAGCTCATGGGAAGTGCTCCCTCGCCGGCCGCCCGCCCGCCTGCCAGCGCCGCCCGCCCTGCAGCCACTGGACCACCAGGGAGAGAGAACCCCCCAGCACTCCCAAAGGTAAGGAGGTTGGGGGGGGATTTAAATTTAAAAAAAGTTAATGTGTGTGTGTGTTTGTGTCTGACTGTGTGTGTTTGTGAGTGTGTGTGTGTGTTTGTGTCTGTGTATGTGTCTGACTGTGTGTGTGTTTGTGTCTGACTGTGTTTGTGTCTGTGTATGTGTCTGACTGTGTGTGTGTGTTTGTGTCTGACTGTGTGTGTGTATGTGACTGTGTGTCTCGGTGCGTGCTGGTGTGTGTGTTTCTGTGTCTGACTGTGTGTGTCTGACTGTGTGTGTGTGTTTGTAAGCGTCTGACTGTGTATGTGTGTGTGTGTGCGTGTGTCTGACTGTGTGTGTGTGTGTGTTTGTGTCTGGACTGTGTCTGTGTATGTGTCTGAATGTGTGTGTTTGTGTGTGTGTTTGTGTCTGACTGTGTGTGTGTCTGACTGTGTGTGTGTTTGTGTCTTCGACTGTGTATGTGTGTGTGTGTGTGTGTCTGGACTGTGTGTGTGTGTGTGTTTGTGTTCGACTGTGTCTCGTGTGTGCATGTGTCTGACTGTGTGTGTGTGTGCTCTGTGTGTGTCTGACTGTGTGTGTGTGTGTGTGTTTGTGTATGTGTCTGACTGTGTGTGTGTGTGTATTTAGAAGGTGGGGCGGGGGGAAGGGTTGGGTGGGGGTGGCGCGGGGGGGAGGGGGGCACCTGAGTTTTGTCCTGCCTAGGGCAGCACAAAACCAGGATACACCACTGCCCATAACATAATATAGCATAACACTACCTCCGCCGGCTTGCCTTCTTCCAATAGTGCATCATGCAACCTTCTTCCATTGTTCCATGGTCCTGTTTTGGACTTGTTCATCATGGGCACTGTGACTGGTCTGTGGCTAAGCAACCACATAGGCAGAAAATGGCAATGCACTGTGTGTTCTGACACCTTTCTATCATATCCAGAATTAGGTTTTTCAGCAATTTAAACTATAGCAGCTCTTCTGTGTAATCAAACCAGATGGTCTACCCTTCGCTTTCAATGTGCATCAATGAGGCTCGGGTGCCCATGATCCTGACGCTGATTCACCGGTGGTCCTTCCTTGTACCACTTTTTATAGGAACGAACCACTGTGCACCCCTCAAGTCATGCCCCTTTTTAATTATATGCCCTTGTGGTTTGATCGAATTAGGGAACACTGAACATCAATTACCACAGCTTTCATAGATCAAACAACCAACAAACCAGTAGCTAAACATTTTTTAGCCACTCAAAGGGTACCAACTTTAAAGTTTATGGTCATCAAACACATACCAACTAAATATCGGTCTAAACAACTTTTACAAAGAGAGGCATATTTATATCCACTCACTGGGGACTATAATGCCAAAGGAACTTAATGAGAATATTGTGCTTTCCATGTTCTTGTAAAGTAATGTTATATTAGAGATATGAGATATATATATATATATATATATATATATATATATATATTTTTTATTATTATATATATTTTTTTTTACATAGTGTTTTTCTGATAAAAAAAAACAACAGCACCTGAATGCTAGTTTTGCGTGCATGTTGATGAATAGACACAGGTATTATAATATTTAATATATATCATATTTCTATTTGCATTTTCCCTTAATTAGTACATTCTGGAGGGTATCTAACCCCTGTTTGTTTTTTGAGTTTGCACACATTTCTCCATACAATTCTGGTCTAACTAGGTAGCACTAGTAATTTTTAATGTCGAAAGTGGTCATTTTTTGATGTGAAGTTTTTGTGTACTTGTTTCTTAGCAACCTACAGATGGTGCACGTCACCACGTTTCTCAAGTGTGTTCCTACGCACTTCCAGTTGGTCTGTTTGCACAACGCACAGCTTTGGCAAGTCACTGTATCATTATCACTTTCTCTTTTTTGTATCACTTGATCTTGAAAAAGGCTCAAATGGGGTGAAACATAAGTCACGTATATTGATGACTATACATTAAAATTAAAAAACTTCTGAAGTTTTAAATTTAGGTCCTCGGAGAGTACACCTTATCACTTGGAAATATACATAAAGATGGGTCCCACCTGGGCATATATTTTTATTTTGTCAAAAAAGGAGAGTGCCGAGATCTGAATTGCATATACAGTCACAAGAAAAATAAAGTACACCCTCTTAGAATTCTATTGTTTTACATATCAGGACATAATAACAATAATCTGTTTCCTAGCAGGTATTAAAATTAGGTAAATACAGCCTCAAATGAACAGCACATGATATATGTCCCAAATAGTAAAGTATAAAAATTATATACATACACAAATTGTATTCAAAGTAGTATATACAGTAGACCTCAAAAACAAAAGGAACAAAAATAAATAATAGTGCAATATGGGATGTCCAGTGGGTGAGTGTTAAGGTAATCTAATTTAGTGTCACTCACGTTTACTAGAGCTATCTCAGAGCGCTGCTGTAATGCACATGGACAGAACAATCCCCATCTAAGGATATATGAAGATCTAGTCCACTCTTGTGTCTCCAGTAAAGTGCAATATATGCAGATCATATAAAAAACAAAAAGGATATTCTAATAGTGAAGTAAGTACTTATAAGTGCTCAAAAGAGAATAAAGTCAGGTACTCACATTTACTAGAGCAGAACTTGCTCTAGTGTATACAGCATAGGTGGTATAATCCCCACCTTGGAATAGGATGGTGCCAGGAAGTAAAAGAAAAAGTTTAAAAATGGATATAAAATTTGTTACCATTTATTAAACAAAATAAAAGCAATATAAAAGTCTTCAGAGGGTCCCACTTTAAAAAAAAGATATTGATTAAAAAGTGGGCGTGGCTTGGAGCTTGAACTGACTGGCCACACGTATGTGAAGCTCCTGCAGCTCGTTTCTTAAGGAGCCAAAATAACTGGAGTTCTGAGCATTCTAAAGCTACAAAAGCACATACTTGCCTTCCTCATGTCGCAGAGAAGTAAGATCAAGCTTTCTAAAGGGAACAAAGCCTCCTTTTTGGTGCGAGCACCAGCAGGGGAAAGCAGAGCGGGCCGCAGCCCAATTCAAGGTGGTGGCAATTACCGCTTGGGAGATGCGTCACCCTCCCCCTCGGCCTCCCCAAACTCCATCTCGGAAGAGGTGCCCCTACTACAACAGGGATGAGCCACTATTAAGACACAGATTCAGACACTGACCACAGACCTCCGCAGGGAACTGCTGGATATTGGGCACAGAACATCGCAGGTCGAACAGAAAATGGACGACATCACAACAGGCCATAACGGTCTGATGGACAAACTCCAAGAGATGGATGCCATGCTGGAAACAGAGATGAAAGATCGCTGACCTGGAGGACAGGTCCAGGAGAAATAATCTCCGCTTCAGAGGTATAATGGAGACGGTCGAAAACTCTTACCTAGTCAACTATCTAACGGATCTTTACCAAGAGCTGACACCAGCTACACACCCAGGTCAACTGGTGATAGACAGGGCCCACCACCTTCGCATACCGTGCCACAGTCGCGCAGGATGTGGTAGCGTGCAGAGCCGGACTGGCCCACCGGGATACCAGGAAATTTCCCGGTGGGCTGCGGCACCTGGGGCTGGGCTGACAGCCCTAATCATTGTTCAGACTCCTGTAATCCGGCCAGCCATGTGTGAGCTGTGCGACTGCACAGAGCCCCATGGGAGCAGGGGGAGCCAAGCGGCCGGCACAGCTCACAGATGCCCCCAAAACAAATTGTGGCGGGGGCGGAGCTCACGTGCGGCAGGGGGCGGGGCTTAGCGTGCGGCGGGGGCCTGGCTAACTGCACCATGGGAAGCAGGAGGAGTCCCTGCTTCCCCAACAACCAGCCTCCAGGAGCTCCAAGCAGGAGGTAAAAAGCAGGTCAGTGTGTCTGTGTGTGACTGCCTGTGAGTGTGTGACTGTCTGTGTGTGACTGTCTGTGTGTGTGTGACTGTCTGTGAGTGTGTGACTGTGTGTGTGACTGTGTGTGTGTGACTGTCTGTGTGTGTGTGTGTCTATTTGTGTGTGTGACTGTCTGCCTGTGTGTGACTGTCTGTGTGTGTGACTGTCGGTCTGTGTGTGTGACTGTGTGTGTGTGACTTCTGTGTGTGTATGACTGTGTGTGAGTGTGTGACTGTCTGTGTGTGTGTGAGACTGTCTGCCTTTGTGTGTGTGTAACCGTCTGCCTGTGTGTGTGTGACTGTCTGCGTGTGTGACTGTCTGCCTGTGTGTGACTGTGTGTGTGTGGCTTTCTGCCTGTGTGTGTGTGACTGTCTGCCTGTGAGTGTGTGTGAGTGTGTGGCTGTCTGCCTGTGTATGTGGCTGTCTGCATGTGTGTTTGACTGTCTGCCTGTGTGTGTGGCTGTCTGCCTGTCTCTGTATGTGTGGATGTTTGCCTTGGTGTCAGTGACTGTCTGCCTCTGTGTGTGTGTGCGCGCATCTTCTAGTGAGGGAGCCTCTGTGTGTGTGAGTGCCTGCTAGTGTGTGTGTCTGTCTGTGTGTGTCTGTCTGTGTGTGTGTCTGTCTGTGTGACTGTCTGCCTGTGTGTGACTGTCTGTGTGTGTGACTGTCGGTCTGTGTGTGTGACTGTCTGTGTGTGTGACTGTCTGTGTGTGACTGTGTGTGTGTGTGTCTGTGTGTGACTGTCTACCTGTGTGTGTGACTGTCTGTGACTGTGTGTGTGACTGTGTGTGTGACTGTCTGTGTGTGACTGTCTGTGTGTGTGTGACTGTCTGCCTTTGTGTGTAACCGTCTGCCTGTGTGTGTGTGTGGCTGTCTGCGTGTGTGACTGTCTGCGTGTGTGACTGTCTGCCTGTGTGTGACTGTGTGTGTGTGGCTTTCTGCCTGTGTGTGGGCTGTCTGCCTGTGTGTGTGTGTGTGTGTGTGTGTGAGTGTGTGGCTGTCTGCCTGTGTATGTGGCTGTCTGCCTGTGTGTTTGACTGTCTGCCTGTGTGTGTGTGTGTGTGTGACTGTCTGTCTGTGTGTGTATGTGTGTGGCTGTTTGCCTGTCTCTGTATGTGTGGATGTTTGCCTCGGTGTCAGTGACTGTCTGCTTCTGTGTGTGTGTGTGTGCGCGCATCTGCTAGTGAGGGAGCCTCTGTGTGTGTGTGCCTGCTAGTGAGTTTGTGTGTGTGTGTGTGTGCCTGCTAGTGAGTGAGCTTGTATGTGTGTCAGTGATCTTGTCTGTAGGGATCATATGTGTGTGTGTTAGTGAGCTTGTCTGTAAGGAGCATGGGTGTGTCGGGGCCTGTCTGTGGTGAGCATGTGTGTACAGTGAGCTTGTCTGTAGTAAGCATGAGTGTGATCGTGAGCTTCTCTGTAGTGACCATATGTGTGTTAGTGAGCGTGTCTGTAGTGAGCATGTGTGTGTCAGTGAGCTTGTCTGTAGTGAATCTGTGTGTTAGTGAGCTCTTCTGTAGGGAGCATGTGTGTGTCAATGGGCTTGTCTGTAGGGAGAGTGTGTGCGCATCAGTGAGCTTGTCTGTAGTGAGCGTGTGTGTGTGACAGTGAGCTTGTCTGAAGTAAGCTTGTGTGTGTATCAGAGTTTGTCTGTACTAAATTTGTGTGTGCCAGTAACCTTGTCTGTGTGTGTCATTGAGATTGTCTGTCAATGAGCCTATTTGTGTGCATCAGTAATATTGTCTGTGTCTGTGTGTGAGTATGCTTTACTGTATAATTTAATTACCTTAAAAGAACTAATATTTTGAATTAGAAGAAGAAATGTATCAATAAAATATATATATATATATATATATATACTGTTGCATCACCAGGACTCCAGTATCCAGGCAATTAAAATAGTTGGCTGCACTCTCGGATTTTCTTAAAATGTAACTTTTATTGTAATATTTAAGAGAAGTTCAGTGTTTCTGTCCCGCCTGTGGACTTTCGTCATGATCCTGATGCAAGTCCACAAGAGGGACTGAAACGTTGATCTTCTCTTAAATATTTCAATAAAAGTTACATTTTAAGAAAATCCGAGAGTGCAGCCAATTATTTCAATTGCCTATATATATATATATAAACACCCTACATAGCACAATGACTTATGGGACTGGCATATATTTTTTTCCAGGGCTGCTTCGTATCCCCAGTCCGGCCCTGGTAGCGTGTATCCATTTTTACCATGTGATGGAGTGCATCACCAAGGCCTGCAGAAATGCTGCCCTCCCTGAGCCATACAGTAATATAAGAGTCTTTGCAGACCTGTCGGCAACCACCTTGCCGTTCCGTAAATCGCTGTCGCAAAATCACTGCCATGCTTCGATCCAAAGATCTGACCTACCAGTGGGGATACCCGGTGAAACTACTTATCCAAAAGCAAGGTGTGATCCACACTGTGGCTACAAAAAAGGAAGGCCTGCGAAAGCTGTAAGACTGGGGTATACCATTGCTAGACCTCCAACTGGCCACAACGGCTCCCCAGACTATCCCCCGACTATCACCAGAGTGGTCTCAAGCTTGACAAAACCAGGCCATTGTATAACATTATGAAACACACTAATGTAAAGTTGGTTTTAAAATTGTATTTCTGTATACGGTTTACTGTTTTTGGGATACAATTTTGACTTTTAGAATTGCTATAGCAGTGTAATTTTTACGCACAGTTTTACTTACTAAATGAATGTATAGACATGCTACGCTCTCTAGTGCTACCTAGTTAGACACTATCACTGCCCAAATATCAACCACATCCTGGCATGTCATTAGAGCCATGCTGTCACTTAAATGTGCAGCAAAAAACTGTTATAACTTTGTCTAAACAAAAAAAAAATTATAAAACAAGATTAGACCACTAATGTTATGCAGTACACTTGAGGTATAGCTTACTAAACCTCTTAGCTCTTAGCTCCTTTTGAGCCCTACCATCTGAGATTTGAGTGACTCCTAGATGTGGAGCTGCAGAAGGCCACCCCCATGTATGTATCTAGACATGCCATGACACACCATGGCTCAGACCTTCTGGGTGCTATTTTGTTCATTATATCTGTTGTGTTTTTACTTTCCCAAGTTACTTCTCCTCTCCCCACCCTTTCCCCCCTGAGAAAGCTACTCCCCCAACTATGCCAACTACCATAACAGTCACTACAGATCAGAGCATCTCTACTAACTTCCCAGAGGGGACCCATAGGATCAACCCAGATTCAATGTATAAGACACTATGAAAGTCACGACCCTTAATGTTAAGGGGCTTAATACCCCAGGAAAACGTAGTATCTTACTCAGAGACTTAAGAAAAGAAGAAGGAGTGGATATTGCCTGCATACAAGAAACGCACTTTAGCAGAGACCACACACCAAAAGGACTTGGGAATTGATATAGACAAACAATGCAACAATGTGCTATGTCAATCAGCAGTGGCTAAGGCCAGTAAGGTATTGTCATGCATGAAAAAGGGCATTCATTCTTGGGATAAGAATATGATTTTGTCTCTTTATAAATCACTAGCAAGACCACATATTGAATATGCTGTGCAATTTTGGGCACCTGTTCTAATGAAGGAAATTACGGCACTAGAAAAAGTGCAGAAAATAGCTACAAAATTAAAAGGATTGGAGCCTTTCAGCTATGAAGAAAGATTAACAAATTTAAACCTCTTTAGTTTAGAAAAACGTTGCCTGAGAGGGGATGTGATATGATAACATTATACAAATATATTCGGGGCCAATACAAACCATTGTGTGGAAATCTAGTCACAAACCGGACTTTACATAGGACACGAGGTCATGCGTTTAGACTGGAAGAAAGAACATTTCGTCTAAGGCAAAGGAAAGGTTTTTTTTTACTGTAAGAACAATAAGGATGTGGAATTCTCTGCCTGAAGAAGTGGTTTTAACAGAGTCCATACAGATGGTCAAACAGCTACTAGATGCATACTTGCAAAAACAGAATATTCAAGGAATTTTTCAATGTAGGGTAATAACTGCTTGATCCAAGGATAAATCTGACTGCCATTCTGGA